GGTCGAAACGTCCCGTGGAAACGTTAGAACGAGGGCGAGCGTTAGAACGATAAGTAAATGCACGCCTTTAACAGCTGTTCCGCTAATGATAGCCGCTTGAAAATATAAATCCGCTCGTTTTTCTAATTACACCTTGGTTCGTGAACGCTCTCGCGCTTGTTCCGCGATCCGATGAGTCCGATAAAGCGTTCCAGTGAGCGCCACGGGATCTCCGTTCGCTTTGTTCCTGTCCCGCCGCGCGCGAGAAAACACATATTTACTTTCAGTCGTCATCCCGATTTCATAAAGTTAACCGGCATCCCGTTCTCGGGCCATTGTATTTTCATCTGTTCGATGCGAATATTATATTGTATGCACCATCTATAAGTTGTTTTATTAGAGCGTTAATTGTTGTGTCGGATGGTGCAAGAATAATAATAATAATAATTATTATTATTTTAATGTTATATGGGGTAAACGGAGTAACTTGATTATTTGAAGTGTCTCGTTTGTTTTTATATGATTTTAATTTTTTTTTTTCTAGAATTTCTTTTGAGGGGAAATCAATGTAACTGATAACGTAAGATACAGGAAAATTTTTGATGTCAACATCTTTTAAGGGTCATATTTATAAAAAGAATTTTATAAAGTTGTTTCACGTTTTTAAAAGAGATTATCCGTTGATAAAAATAACTTCGTATTTAATCTATTATTCTAATTTTCATTGAAATCAAAATTTGTACGTTATATAAATTTTCCTCTAATAATGTTCAATTGTTCATAATGATTCAAGTTTGGACATTATAAGAGTTTAGCAATATTATTATATCATTCAGGTAAGTGAAATTATATAATTTTATTATATAGTTAATTGTATATGTTAAATTAAAGTATCAAATAGTAGTATTGATTGATGCAATGGCACTCATGATTGCATGTAATATTCTAACTTTTTTGTAATTAAGATATAATTGAAAGAAAATTTTTTGTAGGAAGTGAACTAATTAAGTTATAATCAGTAAAAAATGTAGCAATAAATATTTTAAACTAAAATGATAATACTTATATGTAACATTTTTATTTCTTTGAATAAGAAATTAAATTACATCCCATTCTAAAATAATTAATAAACATTACATAAACTAAGGTATCAATAGCTTTACAGTGATTGATGTAATGTATTTAGTTTATAAAGTTTATAATATTCTACAATAGAAATTGAATTACAACTAATTGCA